CCAGATGTTTGGCTTCTGGTCTCTGCTTTTCTTCCAGTTAATTATTGGATTTTGATTAACCATTGGATATCTCCAGAAATGAATTTAATCAAATATAAAGTGAGGGTGTTAGATTAATTGAGAATTCTGAATTTTTCTGAGAAAATCTGTCCTAGAGTCTAGAATAAAGATCCATTTTTCTGCACAGTCTATCTTGAAGTCTAGAATAAAGATCCATTTCCAGGAAACTGTCAGAACATCTACTTTTGTGTATTCTTTTACAAGAATTTTGGGACTAGATTTCTAAACTCAAGGTTTGTCTTTTTTCTAAAACTTCTGTAACGAGTTGGTAAATTAATTTTTTTCGTAATTATTAATTCGAACAAAGAAAAGGAGAATCTATATAGTGATTTTTTCCCCCTTGTGAAAAGCTATTATTAAGTCAGTGGCATATCTTAAAATCTTTAGAATTTGAGGAAATAAGATAGCCATGCAGTTCATATCCAAAAACTCCTAGAGCAGTTCATCAAGACTCTTTCTCTCAGGATAATAACTAGAGTAATTTTAGATAACAGGTTAAAAAATTTGATTGAGATATAGTTTCAGTTGATAGGGCACAGCGAAGTTCTAGAAGCAAATAATACTAAAAAAAATGTTACCTGCTTCAGGCCATTTAGGAAGGACAGTAGTCATTAGCTCTGTATTATTACTTTTGTGGATTGCTCCAGTAAAGGCATGTTGTCATTACTGCTGTTACTCTGTTATAATTCTCCTTGAAGGTCTGACTTTATTTCAGCTTAGTTAAAATAATTAATATTCATGATAACAGTTTCCAATTATTAAGAGTTCAGTGTTTAAAAACCCCTGAAATTATGCCATTTTTAAAGGAAGATACTCTTTGGAAGTGATAAGATAGAAAAGGAGAGGGAGGGGGAGAATATGAGTGAAAGAATATTAAGTGTTTTACAGGGGAAGATGCACTTAGATAACTTGCATTTTTTTCTTTGAACTAAAAAACTTTAATACTTTGTTGTGATAAGGGAAAATGAAAAACAGTTTATTGACTAATTTGTGTGTGAATACTAAGCTATAACATATTTTCTCTTGACCCCCCATTCTTCCAAAAAAACAAGTAAATGCCATGAACATCTTCCTCATGCTGCTAGGTATGCATAGGCAGGTTTTGCCCTAACCATTGAGTTGGTAATATGTAGTTTTCATGTATTATAGACTATGTGAAATACACGTGAAATGTAGTTTTATGTTCTTATTTTAGATGAACTCTTTCTATAGAGAAGGTGCAGGGATCTCCAGTGAACTCCCAGCAGTGCTTAGAACTGCAAAAAAAGTTTCTAGAATCAATTAAAGGTGTATGTAAATGTATTTTTTTGTCATTTTTGTTTTTGTAGTTTTATCTGAGGAGGTCATCTATAAGTTTTATCTTGTTCTCAGAGATATGAACCCAGAATCATCAAGAACTGCTTTTTAAAGGCAGATTCTGTCCTGGTATCGTTAATATTGAGCTACAGGAGTAAATAGCTCTGTGCCCACATTATACAAAAATAAAAATGATTTGATAATAAAAATTGGTAACTAATAAAAATTTTTTGCATTATTAGAAGATTTAATGTTCATACAAGTCAAGTACTAATATGAATATAGTATTTTAAGGTCTTAAAGAATTTTTGAAACTTATTTTTAAAAACAATACAACAGTATATCTTTGAGGGAAATACACTAGGTAGAATTGATATGAGAGAGGTGTATGTATCTTACAGTTCCTCACTACTCTTGGGTGTGTGTGTGACTGTGTGTGTGAATGTGCGTGCACATGCTCGCGCGCGCGCGCACGTGCTCGCGCGTGCGCATGCTCTAACATGCGTGCGTGTGTACATGCGTGTGTATGTTTATTATAGAAGATTCATAACGTACAGTTTTTGGCTAGCATGTTTGGAACTTTTAAAGTAGACTGATATAAAGTCTATGGCCATGCTACCTTGAACAAGCCCAATCCCGTCTGATCTCAGAAGCTAAGCAAGGTTGGGCCTGGTTAGTACTTGAATGGGAGACCACCTAGGAAGACCAGGTGCTGTAGGCGTGAAAAATAAAGATATAAGGGATTGTAAGCTGACAAGGTCCTTGCAATCTGTAAAGTCAACCAAAGTTTGCCTCTCCTAAAAAAAAAAAATACAATGGTGAGAAGACTTGAGATCACAATTTACTTTAAATTTTTCTGGATTTAAAATCCACAAATGCTCATTATTTGAGAGGTCTGAGTTGGCTATTTACTTTAGAGTTTATAGTATTAAGGTTATAGATGCACATCAAAGATAAAACTTTTTTCATAAGAGAGTGAATATTCTATTACGATTCCTACACCTTTGTTTGCCACTTGCTTGTTTCCTAAGGTTAGCTCTGTATTTGAATCTAACAAAAATCCTAAAACATTAAAAAATGGATTTTAACAAAATTGTAATTTTTGCTCTGCTGGACTAATGATACATTTTGCTGGAATACATATGTTCTAATTGAGCCTTCCTCCAGTTGAAGCATGTTTTTCAGTTTTAACTTTCATTTAAAGTAGGTTTTAACATTTAGTATGTGGGTATAAATATGAGGAAAGATTTTTCCAAAGTATTTTGAAAGTTTAAAAAATATTTTAACAAAAATTTCAGGTCTACAGCGATGCTACCATGAGCAAGCCCGATCCCGTCTGATCTTAGAAGCTAAGCAGGATCGAGCTTGGTTAGTACTTGGATGGGAGATCACCTAGAAAGACCAGGTGATATAGGCGTAAAAAATAAAAAAAATAAGGGATCGTAAGGTGACAAGGTCCTTGCAATCTGTGAGGTCAACCAAGAGTTGCCTCACCTAAAAAATACTAAAAAAAAAAAAACTGTCAAAATTATAGGCATTTATTAATACATTGGTCCCATTTCCATAAGATTTAGTTCTGAAAAAGGATGTAGAGTAATGCTTTCTTGGAAGTTGAGAGATCTGGATTCTTGACTTGATCTATAATTAGCTGTATATGACCTTCGGCTATTCATTTATCCTCTCTGGTCCCTATTTTCTTATCTACAGAAATGAAGGTGTTTGGTTACATGATCTCTAAGGTCCTTTTCAGTTTCTAAAATGCTACGATTCTATGAAGTGAAGTTTTGTAGTAGTCGTACAGCATATTTTATTTCAGATTACGTGAAGGTATTCTCTATATATTCATATTCGGATTTGGTTATTCATTTGGTTGTCTAAGCACTTGTTGAATGTCTCTGTCTTTGCTAGATGTCACAGACTACTGAATAAGAGTTATGGACCTTGCCATTATGGAACAGTGTTCAGTGGAGAAGAATGGAATTATGTAACTATTATGAAATTAATTATTTTATTCAGATGTAATATGTAACTAAGAAGATTGAGTAGCAGAATGAGGAAGATAGCAGAAAGAATGAGCACAGGGGTACTAGGAGTGTGGATCAGTAAGAAAGAACAGCATATTCAAAGACCCTGAGTGAAGATCCTGAATGCTGAAGAATTGTGAAAAGGAGGAATTCCAGAGTGAGTCACCCAGTGTGTAGCTAATGAGATGGATGGACATCAGATTATATAGTGATTTTTTAGATTTAAAGATTTTGGTTTTTATGCTTAATGTTACATATATTATTACTTCCTATTATGTCCTTGCTGTTAAATGATCCAAAAAATGCTAATACCACGAAATACATTTTTTATCTTAGAGATAAAAAACTATCTATTTTCGATCAATCACCACACTATTGGTGACATGAGATCCCTGGCTTCTCCCTGTACCCTTTCACTCTTTAACAGTGTTTTAAGATATGGTAACCTGTCTTTCTTTTTGGATTAGCAGTTTTACGTTTTCTGTGCCCTTTTTGTGCTCATTAAGTGTAGCAACTTAAGAATTTTTTATATATTGTCTATTAAAAATTAGCAAATTAGTACACTAGTCTATTGGTTTACATTTTTTGTTATTCACCGATTTGCTTTTTTATTTCCACCACTAATTGTGTTCTTCATTATGACATTATTAGCATGTGAAAACTGTATTTGTTAATGTACAGATAAATTATCTGATTTTTTGCCTTTTAATTATTGATTTTTTAAAGAATACTGATGTACATTAAAAAGACTATTAATTTCATCAGTTTTCTTTGAAATTGGTTGGTTGTGGAAATATTCATGTTAGCTAAACTAAACAGGAAATTGTTTAATGACAAGGGCTTACTCTTTTAAGACACCGTGACAGGGTAGTGTAGACACTACCATTTGCTGATAATCTGAGTATCCTGAGTTAGTTCAGATATTTCAGTTAGACTGAATGTGTTTTCACTTTTATAACATTCATGCACAAATATTGATAAAGCCTTATAACTTTCAGTAGCATAGTATTCTCAGGCTGGTTCCCTAATACTTTCTTAGTGGATTGAGATAAACACCTACTCTGATATAGCAGAATATACTCTTAGCACTGAATGTGTAGTTCACCGTCTTCTTTGAGTGGCTTCAGTATGCTCTTCTCAGAAGCTTAAAACTTAGAACAATGCATTTTTTTCCCTCCCCCCCCCAGCTTTATTGAAATATAGTTAGTTGCTTGTATTTACATTATACAATTCAATGAGTTTTTTCAATTATAGTTAGCATACAAGAACAATACATATTAAATCTCATTTTCAACTCAGTAATGAATGTTTATACAAACTAATACTGCCTATTACACATTTATCTTTCTTATTCTCTGTATATGTGCATTAATTTAAAAGCCATTATGATTTTTAAATCCATGGGAACTGAATCTTAAGAGCTATTTTTTTTTTCTCGCTTGTGTTTAGATCTGTACTTCAATTTTAGTGGTATTACTTAATTTATTCAGCAGATACTTGTTGAACACTGACTGTGAATAAAAGCCTTTGCCAGACACTTGTATGGGATATACAGATGGTGAATACATTATTCTTAGTCCCAAGGATCTTACAGTTTTAAGGGCATTAAAAACATTAAGAAGGGTTTATAAATAACACAAAAAGTGAAAATTAAAATGCTGCATTGGAGAGGTCAGAGGAAGGAAGAATTAGTTTTCTGGGAGAAACAAAAATCTAATACAAACCTCACAAAGAAGAAGCCTTTACAGCCCAGACTTTAAAAGATAGAGTTAAATTTGTGCAAAAGAGAAAAATGCTATTTATTATGAGTGGGGGCTTAGAATAAGCACATAGTTTATGTGGAAAAGCAGTAGGTATATGAGAGAATCTGATGTGTATAGCATTGAATGGAAGTATATGGAGATAAATCAGGCAGGGTCAGTTGGGATGACATCACTGAGGGCCTTCAATGCACTTTGTATATGTATATTCAAATATAAATTCATGCTTATAAATAAATACGTTATTTTCTTTTGTTAAATATTTTTGGTTTACATGTTGAATGTGTGGTAGAGAGTTATAACTTTGCTGAATTTTGTTGATGTCAAACTCGAATAGACTTTTGAAAAATTTTTCTTATGCTGATATTCAGCTTTTATTAACTTATCCCTTTATTTAAAATGTTTTCTCTATCATAATAGAAATATTCATTCTAAAAAAGTTAAGATTATACAGAAAAATAAAAAAATGTGCATCTGTACTGCTAACACTTGCACTTAGTGTATTTCTTTCCATATAATATTTATATATAAGACAATTTTAAGTAAAATAGACAATAACATGAGGTAGGGTTATTCTTTACATGTGTGCGTACTTGTCAGAAAATTTAGAACTGATAAACCTATGACTCATTTATTTTCTTGTTCGATTAAATAACTTTAAATCTTTGACTAAAATCTTAATTTTTCATTTAAATCAAAATGTATTGGTCCGAGGTAAATTGAAAGCATTGCATATGTTTTAGTTTGTAAAGGTAATTTTTCCAGGAGCAGTCTTACTGTTTATTCCCTTTTAACATTGCCTAAAACATGGTAGAAACAGAAAATATTCAGTGAAAAGGAAAATTTTCTCCCATCTAACAATGAAGCATTGCAGTTATTTAGCATTGTCAGTACAAACACAATTGTGTTGGCAGTCTCACGTGAAGAAGAAAAAAGTGCAGAAATTTGCAAAGCTAAAATATCTGGTAGGACCAGAGATTTTAGAAAGGCAATATAAGATCCTTCCATTGATTCACAGACTGTTTATAGAAGGCTTACTTTCTGCCAAACCCTGTAAATACAAAGCAAATCCCTGTCTTCAGGGTGCTCATAGCTTACTTAATGGATTTAAATAGAAAATCCTGAGGATTGACACCAGACCCTTGTATGCGCAAAGCAAAAATGAGTAATGCAGAAGATTTCCACTTGGTAGAGATTAAGATTAGTGGAGGAAGCTGCCTAAAGCCCAGGAATGTCTATGTATTTTAAGATTTTGGTGGTAAAATTAGAGGAGTAAGATTATATAATTCAGGAGTAAGAATATATATTACATATATATTGTATTATATAATGTCGTATGTTATATATACATAATGCAGCAAGGTAATACTTCTTGAGTGTGTATGCTCCAGTATTTGAAAAATAAGGGAGATTTAATTAAAGAATGAGAGAGGCAGGAATAAATGGAGAATGGCTTTTTATTGCTATTATAAACCTAAGTAGAAAGAAAAATCTTTATTCTTATTCTATACATAGAAATTTCTTATTAATATCTCATACCCTTTATAGGCATATGTATTAGCTTTGTAACAATGTGGAGTTTTTGTACTGACATGTCTCAATGTAGTCTCTCAAATCTGAGATTGTTTCATTTGAATGCTATTTTCAATACTGTTGGATCATCTGTTTTCTCTTCGTTGTGTTTATTTGTGTAAACTTACTGACATAAATTGAGATAAACATTTTTTTTTTGAAGTTCCACTAAATAAAATTTTCTAAGTGATTTAGTTAGTGTTTTCCTGGTCCATGCAGTGGGGCATTATACTACCTATTTTGGGTGTAATATTGATACTCTCTTAAAGGAGGTGGTAGGCTCCATCATATATTTAGAAAGCATTAAACATGTTCAGGCTAACCAGTTTTCCATTTTATAGGAATGATTTCCATTTTTAAATAATAAAAATAAGGATTAAATGGTATTCAGAATTATAGATACTTTGATAATTAAAACCATTTTTTTTCTATGCAGGACACCATTGCAGTGGCTGGATTTATTGTTTTGTCATCATCGTCATCTGCAAACAGAGATGGTGAACATTGCTTATTTTTGAAAGCATTTGAGGACTTCAAATCAACTGTTTATGTAAGCATGTATCTTTTAGTTTCTTCATATTATGGTTTTAATGACCTAGGTGATGGAATTGAGGTAGTATTTCTGTAAATCTGCAGATAAACTATTTAGTCTGACTGAATTATTTTAGTATTTTAAGTTTAAAAAATAGAAATTCTTTTCTTGGCTTTGTGTTTAGCATGACTCCAGGTAGAAAAGAGTTATTTATTGATGAAAATTTAAAACTTCACAGACACTCTAGACCTGATGTTATTCTTTGCACTTACACCATCAGCCCCTTTTGATAGTCTACTTGATTTCACTTTAAATTGATCAAGGGACTTTTGATCAATTTAAATTGCTCATCCTGCCTCTCTTCACCTCCTCTATCCTCCTTCCCCACCTCCTACTCTCAACACACACATTTGGAGATAACCTGTTTGGTGAAGGCTAGTAGGAAGAGATGTAGAGTTGTGTCAAGCCATGTGCTTGCAAGCCAACATCTGGCTTTTTCTAGCATGCACAAGGGTGTTATATAGGCTAGGGGTGGTCCTGTGATATTAAAATTAGTGTATTAGGCTGAAGCTTAGCTTAGACAACTTTACACATGTCACTCTTAACTTGTAAGCTATAACTTTATGCCATTCTGGTGAGTTTGAATATTATATAGTTAAGTGTGTAGTTTTACTACAATTAAAGATCTGTAATCACATTGGAAGTCATTTGTAAACAAATAAGCCCTTCTTTTTTTTTCAGGTTTATGTTAAATCCGTAATAGATTTTTCTACAGAATCAATGTCTTTGGTAAGATATTTAGTTTAATGTAGAATATGAATATACATCTCCACACATAGCTACACACATACACATTACATATATATTTGATCTACTTTATAGTCTGATTTAAAAATAGTATCAAATACAGTGGGGAAAACAATCTACACTTTGTTGATATCTGGTGTTACATTTGAGCTACATTTACCAAGTAATTAATATCTGGTTGTTCTGTTGTCTAGAATATCTGCCGTTATTTTGCATAAACTACATCCATAAAACTAAATTGGAAAAAATGTTTTATTGTGTGAAGGCACTGGAATTTTTACTACTTTTAAACCTTAGCGAAATGTATTTCTTTTGTTTTTAATCAACTTCCATTTAAACAGATTATTATGTACTGAATTATATAATTTTAAGTAAAGAAGTTTATTACACTTATACATTTTGCTTTTTTATCTTTTTAGTATTTTATAAAATTTTAGCAATAGGAAGGTTCCTATTTTTATAGGTGAGCTACTTGTAGCTGAGTAAAACTAGAAAGAAGCTAATATAGAGTTTATGTTCTTAAACCTTTAGTTTCTAATGAACAGACAAAGTCCAGGGACTTGTTTCTAGTTGACAATGACTATGAGATATGGATTTTAAATTCTGAATAATACTGTAATAGTACAATTTGAGTTTGTGATTTAGGGAAATTATATTCAATAAAAGGATTGATGCACTTTTTATATAAGTGTGAATTAGGCTTCAGTATTAGTATTTCTCAAAATTATTATAAATAGGTTAGCTTCAAATATTTAATACATCCATAAACTCATAAATAAGGCAGAAGTAAATGAAAGAGCCTCTGAACTTGGCAAAAATGGTCTTTCAGAAAGCCCAGCTATTCTAAACTATTGGATTATAACTTAGCTGCTGTGCACACATATACTGGCTTATTTACATGGAAAGCCAAATTATAGTTAAGAAGTTGTTCGTTGGTCATGAATTAGCAAGTACATTACTTGGATGACCATAATGGTTATGGTCATTGATCTATGCTGGCCTTCCTCATTCATCTCTATATTACGGAGATACTTCTTAAGATAATATATTGGATCCAGTTATTTTGTCATCTGAGTGCATATCTTCTCTTTTCTGTCCCATATGGTGACTATTCTTCTTTCGTCATTGATGAGCTACAACATTTTTTTATATCAAGATTTGAAGAGATTTCTAAGCCTTGCCCTTCTTGTATTTGACTTGAGGGATCAACTTCTTTGAAAGAGCCAATTAATTTATTTTGATTTCATTTAAAAAATTTTAACACAGTATTATAGGTAACCTTATTTCTAATTGGGGGTGGGATGGGTAGGTGATGGGGCAAGATGTCTGAACTCTTATGGATTGACTAATATATAGATATATCCTTATAAATCACTTTCCCTTTTCTTTCCAAACAATGTACAGTTATTTCAGAAATTTTTTCTTTTGTTACCATTTTTAATGTCTTTAAACCATTTATATTTAAAACCTGACTTTATTTCGGTCTAAGTAAAATCTTATAGCAGTATAGAAAAAAAATATATATATATGTAGAGAGAGAGAGAGCTTTACAAGTTTTGAAGTGATATTAGTTAAGGTTTAAAACCAAAACCAAAATCTCTTAAGCTGCATTTCTTAGAATTGTGTACAAATCACACCATTTATAATCAAAGTCATTTCTAAGAAAAACTAGTATTAGTAGTTTATATAGTAACTTTTTAAGCTGTGCATTTCCCTTTTTCAGGCCACAGCCTCTCTTTAGACACTTAAAAGGAAAAAAAATGCAGTTAAATGGCTCTTACAATTTACGAATTTGATCATAACATGAGTCTAAAATATAAATGCTTAATATTGATATATTCATTGTCTTCTCTCCCTTTAGGTTCCAGCGACACGTTATGTATATACACCTTTGAATGAACTTAAGGGTGGTATGATTGTCAATGTCTATGGTGTTGTGAAGTTCTTTAAGCCTCCATATCTAAGCAAAGGAACTGGTAGGTATTAAAATTGGTCGAGATTTTAATGGACTGGAACTACTTTATTGATTGCAGGAACACGGCTTCTTCAGTACCCTGTCTTAGAAGCTTAATTCTGATTTATAATTGCCAAACAACACTCATACATATTTTGGCTACTTTTATTTATGAAGTTAGTATGGACTATAGATTCTAAAGAGTAAATGAAGAAAAGGATGCTGAACAGCAATATGACAGCATATGAAAGTATAAAATAGGCTAGAAAACTTAATGTAGACAAAGAATACTTTAATACTGTGTCAGTGATATGTAAATCACTTTTAATTCTGGTATAGAGGTTAGACATAAGAATACAAAATAAATTATATATAAACAAATTAATGGATATACATTACTTCCAAGTTACAGATTTTCATCTTAGAAAAGGATGCTAGTATGTAGGACTCTAGGCTCTGCATTTTCAAGATCTATTTTGGTATACTGCTCCCACCCCACTCCACTTTACACGTCATTATTTAAGAAAATCAAAATATATTCTCTTCTTTATTTTTTAGTTTGGTTGTCTATCTTTTTTTTCAGTGATCTCTGGATACTTCTTATATATTAATGTATTAGTCTCTTGTCATATATGTTACAGATGCTTATCCCAGCTTTTTAATTTTAGGGCTGGTAGTTTTAAAATACAAATGGTTAAAATACTTTTGAAGTCATAATTTTTTTGTTGTTTGTTTTTTGTTTGGGAAGCTTACTCATTACAAGATCTGAAAAAATAATAGCCTATATTTCCTTAAAATTTTTACATATTCTAAAACATATTGCATATACTGCCTGAAATTTTGTTTTGTATGTACTGTACAGTGATCATACTTTTTGTTGGTAACTGATTTGTTTCAAAATAATTTGTTAAATTATGTCATGTCTAAATCTTATGTAATATATATACATGTATATATAGCTGTATATAGCAATCTTTGGGGCAACACCTAACAGAGAGCCTCAAATGAATTTTCTTCTCCTGATATGCGACCTCTGATAGCTCTCAGTTAAAAGGACTATTCAGATGTTGCCCAATTTTTAATCATTAGGTAGAGTATTTGCTACAATCTCGATGAATTTTGGGGAGATGTTTGGATTGGTAGGATTCTTCATCTCAGTTATGATTTTCTGCATAATACAGTCTGATTGTTAATCTCAGTTTTTTGGTTTTGTAATAATTTTAGTGTTTTTTTTAACTTTTCAAAGAAAGCAGTATTCTTATATTCTCTCATTATTATTCTTTTTTCTTAAGTTTATTGGGGTAACATTGGTTAATACAATTATATAATTTTCAGGTATACATTATCATTTGACATTTGTATATTCTATTGTGTGTTTCCACCCAAAGTCAATTTTTCTTCAGCAACCATATATTTGATCCCCTTTACCCACTTCACCCTCCCCTACTCCCCTATATTTGACCCCCTTTACGCCGTCTCCCTCTCCCCTCCTTCCCCACCCCCTACCCTCTGGTAACCACCAGTCCATTGTCCATGTCCATGAGTCTCTGTTTGTTTGTCCTGTTCCTTTGTTGCTTTTAGGTTTATATCCCACATATAAGTGATAACGTGATTTTCAACTTTTTCTGTCTGACTTATTTTGCTGAACAGGATTATCTTGAGGTCCATTCATGTTGTCACAAATGGCAGTATTTCATCTCTTCTTATGGCTGAGTAATATTCCATTTTATATATGGCCACTGCTTCTTTAGCCAATCATCTATCGTGACACACTTCAGTTGCTTCCATGTCCTGACCACCGTGCATAATGCTGCTATGAATATTGGTATGCAAATATCCTTTCAGATATGGGTTTTCAAGTCTTTGGGGTAAATACCCAGCAGAGGGATTGCTGGATCATATGGTAGATCAATTCTTAGTTTTTTGAGGAACCTCCATACTGTTTTCCATAGCGGCTGTACCAATTTGCAGTCTCACCAGCAGTGTATAAGGGTTCCTTTTTCTCTGCATCCTCTCCAACATTTATTATTAAATGTCTTGTTGATTATAGCTATTCTAACAGGCATGAGATGGTATCTCATTGTGGTTTTGATTTGCATTTCCCTAATAGCTAGCAACGTTGAGCATCTTTTCATGTTCGTAGGCCATTTGTATGTCCTCTAAGGATAAGTGTCTATTCAGGTCCTCTGCCCATTTTTTGATTGGATCATTTGTTTCTTTGTTGTTATTGAGTCATATGAGTTCTTTGTATATTTTGGATATTAGGTCTTTATCGGAGGCGTTGCTTGCAAATATATTTTCCCATTGAGATGGTTGTCTCTTTGCCTTGTTGATGGTTTCTTATGCTGAGCAGAAGCTTTTTAGATTGATGTAGTCTCATTCATTTATTTTAGCTTTTTCTGCATCTATTGATATGATCATATGATTCTTATTTTTTAATTTCTTTATGTGGTTGTGTATCACATTAATCGATTTGCTTATATTGAACCATCCCTGTGCCTCTGGGATGAAGCGCACTTGATCATGGTGTATAATCTTGTTAATATGTTGCCATATTCGGTTTGCTAGTATCTTATTTAGGATTTTGCATCTGTGTTCATGAGAGATATTGGTCTGTAGTTTTCTTTTTTCATGTTATCTTTACCAGGTTTTGGTATGAGGGTAATACTGGCCTCATAAAATGAGTTGAGAAGTATTGCTTCCTCTTCGATTTTTTGGAAGAGTTTGAGGAGAATGGGTATTAAATCTTCTTTGAATGTTTGGTAGAATTTATTGGTGAAGCCATCTTGTCTTGGACTTTTACTTTTTGGTAGATTTTTGATGATTGTTTCAATTTCCATACTGCTGATCGGTCTATTTCGATTTTCCAGTTCTTCTTGATTCAGTCTAGGAAAGTTGTATTTTTCTAAGTACCGGTCCATTTCTTCTAGTTACTAAATTTGGTATTACATACTTTTTCATAGTATTCTTGTATGTTCCTTTGTATTTCTTTGATGTCAGTCGTAATTTCCCCTCTTTCATCCCTGATTTTGTTTATTTGTGCCCTTTCTCGTTTTTCTTTAGTGAGTCTAACCAGGGGCTTGTCAATTTTATTAACCTTTCAAAGAACCAGTTCTTTGTTGCATTTATTTTTTCTATTGAGTTTTGTTTTGTTTTGTTTTCAATTTCATTTATTTCTGCTCTAATTTCGATTATGTCTTTCCTTCTGCTGACTTTAGGCCTCATTTGTTCTTTCTTTTTAGTTCTTTACGATGAAGCGTTAGGTTGTTTATTTGACCTTTTTTCTTTAGTAGCATGTTGTTTAATCTCCATGTATTTGTGGTTCTTTCAGTTTTCTTTTTATAGTTGATCTCTAGTTTCAAAGCACTATGATCAGAGAATATGATTGGTATGATTTCAACTCTTTTATTTGTTGAGGCTGTCACTGTGTCCCAGTATGTGGTCAATTCTTGAGGTTCCATGTGCACTAGAGAAGAATCTATAAGTAGCTGTTTTGGGATGGAAAGCTCTGTATGTGGTAATTATATCCAATTGGTCTAATGTGTCATTTAAGGATGTTATTTCCTTATTGATTTTCTGTTTGTATAATCTGTCCATTTCCGACAGTGGGGTATGTAGCTGTGTCATGAGAGTCCACCCTATACATTGCCAGTTTTTTAGAGAGAAGGAGAGAGAGGCTATATTCAGAAGATAACCTATTTCTGTCTTTCCTACAGGTTATACATTTAGAAAGACCAATTTCTAGATTTTTTTTAACGTCTTGCTTTTTGCCCTCTGCAATAGTCCTAGTGAAATAGTTGCCTCTGCATAGTTTGCTGACCTCTGATCTCGTACATGATTATGGTTTTCATCAAATTTTTAGAAGGATTTGGCCAGAAGAGTACATCTGTTTATATTTGCTCCCTCCAAATTTACAAATAAAATGACAGTTTAAAAAAGGTATAATTTTAATGTCAAATAGAATGGAAAAGATGATAGTTAACAATAGATTTCAACAAAACTTAAGTGCTGACATTTGGATAGTTGATGTTAACTGTTTAACCAAGAAGAGTGAATTTTATTTTTATGAGTGGGGAAGGCGTAAACAAGCAACACTATACCAAAAAGTCTCCATTCTGTTTGCAGTCAGTCAGTCCTATTCCCATTCCCAGTTCTAGGCAACCACTGGTTTGCTTTCTGTCTATACTTTTCTGAATACTTTACATAGAAGACTCAGAACATGTGGTATTTGCTTCTGGCTTCTTTCACTTAGCATAATGATTTTGAGATTCACCCATGTTGTAGCAGGTATCAGTAGTTCTTTTTATTACTGAATATCAGTATACTTTTATTAGTATTTAAAAATATTATTTGTTCTCCTTTATTTTAAATACAAACTCTGTAAAGATAGAAACCATTGCTGGTCTTTGTAATTCCAGAATAACATGCATGACTCATGAGATACCTATCTATGTACCTACTTACATATTTAATTTATTTAATCTGTCTCTGTCTCTTATATGTGTATATATATAAAACATTTCATAGCATATATTAGTATCTATATGTCTATCATAATATTTATACTTTCCTCTCTTTCCTGTGATCCTTTGAAATATAATAAAAACATGAGGGGAAATTATGTAACTTCAAACCAGCATAATAAAGATATTGTGGTTATATGTGTATTATATAATAAATTTCCTTTTAAAGTAGATAACATTGTAGCATATATGGGCTTGATTCAGTGATTTGTCTTCATAGCTTTTACTTGAATGTTTCAGTAATTAACTTTTATAGAAATGAAAAACTTTAGCTGGAATACTGATTGGTTTAAAAACAGTGCTTAGTAAATAAAAGAGGTGAAGCAACTTTCATGAAGGTATTTTTTGTGGATTGTATAATTTATGCATGGATTCCTCTTTGATTAAATACCTTGCTTAGATGAACTACCAGCTTTTTCTTATAATAAAACTCCAAGGCAATTTACTCTTAATCATACTGAGGAAATTAGGTGAATTGCTCAAGATTACAGAATATAGG